TGATGAAGAAGAAGAAGAAGAAGAAGAAGAAGAAGAAGGACCATCGTTGACTGGCATATCCGCCGGAAGTAGTTATCGTTCGAATCGGTAAATGTTTTTCCAACTCGTCCCATACTTATAACCCTCTCTATTCCACTTTTCTTTTATTATCTCTTTCTCTATCTCTCTTTCTCTCTCTTTCTTTCTTTCTTTCTTTCTTTTGTATGAAACTCGTTAAGAAAGATCTCACGATCTTTCGTTAAAGTAGTGTACCAACTAAACAAGATGATCGTGAACGTTCGATTCAAATGGCTTATTATATTCTTCGAACCAATTTGTTCAAATAAAATTCAGTAAAGAAATAAATTTAAAAAAAATAAATAATAATAATAATAATAATATTGAATTGTTGGGAAAGTAATTTCATTTGTCTTTAGTTAAAAATGAAGACAACAATTTTTGCTTCGAAGTTAAACCCTAAGCCTTTTAAGTGGGTATAAACAGTTGATTTTGATCAATTTAACCAATCACCGATTACACGTGTTGTTATTTGCCGGTTTGCATCAATCTTATGATTTTATTGTGTTAGGAAAAAACAAAATCACTTTTCGAATAATCCAATAATAAGAAGAAATAAATCAAAATAAGACAAAAAGAGAATAAGTGATAAAAGACAGGTGATAGTTTCGTTAGGGAAATATTTCTCTCTCTCTCTCTTTTTCTCCTCTCTCACGACGATCTCAGAATACTCGCAGACTTTTGACCTAGAATGAGGCGAAATCGAGGAACGCGTCTCGAGCACGAGGAAGAAGAAGAAGAATAAGAATAAGAAGAAGAAGAAGAAGAAGAAGAAGAAGAAGCTGTAAATATAACACCGTATTTCTGCAACTTTCGTGATACGTATCAAGAACAAAAATAGTAGAAATATCTACATAACTTAGGTGATACTAAATGAACAATATTTTTCATTGCATTCTGATGCATCGTTAGAAGACATTAGATTGACAACTAAATAATCGCAGATTTAACCAATCATTTACCTTGAAAAATCCTCAATTACTTAATTGTCAATCTAATAAGTATCGATAATTAAGTCAAACCTTACTTCGATCAAATTTTGTAGTAATTTTCTTTTCATGTTTTTGCAAGGTGACAACGATGTATCGAGTTGTCTCTTTCTCTCTTTAAATATTTTTTATCTTTTTTTCTTTTGTTGCTTGCTTTTTCTCTTTCTGTCTCGCTTCCGCTCGCAAATCCCTCTCAGAGGCGGACGCATTTGGCACCGTTGGCACCAGCTCAGACGTCCACGATGAAATATCTAGTACTGGTGACTTTGATCTTCCGACGAAGGAACATTGCGTCGCGGAGGAGGTTGCAGTCTTGATGCAGAAGGAGGAGTAGGAGGAGGAGGAGAAAGAGAAGGAGAAGGAGAAGGAGAAGGCGGCGGCGGCTGAGGGAAGAAAACTCGTGCGGTGTGGCCACATAATGCTGTCTCTCTTTCTCTCATTAACTTAATACGATCTTGAGAAGCAGGAAGTTTTGCGAAGCAATTCGTTCTATGTGTTTCTCGTCGTGGGTGTTGAAGAAAAAGGATCATCTCTCTCTCTCTCTCTCTCTCTCTCTCTCACTCTCTATCTTTCTCTTTTATTATTGAAGTGAAAACTTCTTTAGAATAGGAATGATCTGAAAAGTAAATAAACGAAAACGGAGCTATGTAACGAAGCTATGAAACCTCACTACTTTTCGGAAAAAACCTCACTAGATACACTATCAGAGGTGTTTATTTCCCATGCACTTTTTAGTTACCAGAAGCAATATGTTCCATCACATATTTGATATCATTAAACAGCGTTTTTTAAATTATAGACACAGTATAGAGTAGTTTAAAGGGTTTAAAATAGTAATTTAGGCGGATCTCACAAAGCAATCCCCTACAGCCTACTGCCATGTTAAGGTGGTATCGAAAAAAAAAATTCAGTGCTTACTGTAGGTCACTGGTGGTATTGTAAACAATATCTATGGACGTAGGAAGGTTCAAGGAATCTAACGATACTCACTAATGGTACCTATGTCAATTTTTTATGGGTTTAATTAGTTTTCAAAGTAAGCATTATTTGACTATTGTTTACTTTGAATTTCATTTTGCATCCCTCACAGCCTACTGCCGTCTAAATGCAATTTTAAGTGATTGGGGGTCAATTTATAGATTTGTCAACGTTTGTAGAACCATTGGTAGTTGATGGTCTAATAATAAACCTTCTTTTTACAATTTTCTAATTATTACGTTTTATGATGAATCATTTAATTATGTGTGTGTGAATTGATTTACATATTTGTTCATTAGAACGATTTAGTATCATCTGTTATCTTAAGTTTTGATTGATATATCTATTAAGATGAGACATTAAGATAGAGTTTAAAGACACCTTGCATCGTTTCTAACACTTCCTTCTGTTGATCGGAAGACGCGTGTAAAATGCACACGCGGAACGACAGCTGCATCCATACGGGAATCGTCTTAAAGAGATCTCACTGACCCTCTTCTTTATCCTCTATCTTTCTTTTGTACATTCTCACGTGCAGCTAGGGGTGAGTCACCCTCGTTGAAATTCTAAAAGCGCCGATTTCCCGAAAGTCTATTACGAAGCACTTGGCGTCATACGCACTGCTATTTTCCGCACGTATCTCAGATCCTACGTTCTATTAGGGTTACCTACCAAGTTTTTTTTATATTTTTTTTTTTCATTTTTTAACAACAACAATAATAATAATAATAATAATAATAATAAAAAATATTGTCTGATTTTTTATTTTAATTTATTTTTTCTGTCCCTGGTAGCACAAAATATTGAAAAATATTGAATACATGTGTATTTAATATTAAAAAATGATTCAATGTTTTTTTAATATTAAATATATTTTTATAATAAATATATTTATTTATATATAGATATATATAATATTAATTATTTAATATTTATTATTTATATAATATATATTATATATAATTATTTATATATAATATTATAATATATATATAATTTTATAATATAATTTATAATAATATCATAATAATAAATATAATAATAAATTTATA